CTTGTCTCTTCAGCTTCTGCTTCTGTTTCCTGTGGCCTCTTGGCCCTCAGGCCTCATGCCTGCATCTGCCCCGCTGGGGCAAGTGTTCCAAAGCTCTGTAGCTCCACTGATGTTAAGTGCCCGGAGGCACCCCACTCCGCCAGAAAGCCTTGTGCACACAGACACTCAGCTCTCTTGCTCCGTGGGTCGTCAAGCCTAGCTCCACCGATAAGTGCCCAGAGGCACCCCACTCTGCCAGGAAGCCTCCTGCACACAGGCACTCAGCTCTCTCGCTCCATGGGTCGGCTCCAGCGCCATCTCGCACTGGTCTCCTGGTTCTGCTGCTGTTGGTTTTCTGCTGCTGCCGCTTCTCTGCTGCTGTAGGTCCTCTGCTGCTGCTGGTCCTCTGTCACTGCCGCACGTCTATCCATTCACAGTTTTAAAACTGCTTCCAAATTTTAGGTATCTGTTAGAGCAGCACCCCACTCTCTTGGTACCAAATTCTGTTTTGGTTATCTAGCACTGCCATAATAGAAATTCCACAAGTGGATGGTTTTAACAAAGAGAAGTTCATTTCCTCACAGTCAAAGTAGGCTAAAAGTCCGAATTCAGGGTGTCAGCTCCAGGGGAAGTCTTTCTGTGTCTGTCGGCCTTCTCATCAGTGTTCCCCCAGGCTAGGAGCTTCTCGGCACAGGGACCCCTGTTGAAAGGACGTGCTCTGCTCCTGGCCCTGCTTTCTTGGTGGTATGAGGTCCCCGTGTGTCTCTGCTCACTTCTCTCTTTTATGTCTCAAAAGAGATTGGCTTAAGACACTATCTAATCTCATAGACCTCATCAGTATAACTGTCGCTAATCTGTTTTATTACATCATAGTGATAGAGTTAACAACACGTAAGGAAGTCACATCAGATTACAAAATAGTATGCAATCATACAATACTGGGAATCATGGCCTAGCCAAATTGATACACACGTTTTTGGGGGGACATAATTCAATCCATGACAGTGTGGTTTTCATTTTCATTTCTCTTATTCTACTCAAGATTGAGGATCTTTTCATATTTTGAAAAGCTATGTGCATTTCTTTTTCTGCAAACTGTGCTCATTCTTTTGGCCATTTTTCTAGTGGGTTGTTGGCCTTTGTATTGATTGATTTGTAGTATTTATTTATATAATTTTAATATAAATTTATATAATAAGCTCTTTGTCTTTGATATGAGTTTCAATTTTTTTTTTTGTCATTTGCTCTTTCACTTTTCTTATTGGTTTTTAGGGGCGTTTTGGTTTTAGTTTTGGGTTTTGTTTTTGTTTTTTGCTACACTGAATTTTTTATTTTTCTGTCATCAAATTTTGTGACTTCTGGATTTCGTGCTATAGTTAGATCTTTCCCACACCAATGTGGAGTTTTAATGCGTTCAGGTGTAGCCCTGCTGAAACCTACAATACCCTCGCCACAGTGGTGTTGCTAGGCACAGCCTAAGCAGTAGGCTTTATTTCTAGCCCTGGGTAACTGCTGTGTTTCATGGATCTCCTCAGCCTTGTTGGGAATCTGGGTCACTGCTAGAACTTGATTAAGTTAATCTCACATCCTTCATAAAATGGTGCTTTACAGGGAAAGAAAATAAAGGTAGGACATTAGATGATCTTCTGGCTCTCACCCCATCTTTCAACAACCTTTATTCCAAGAGATAGACTTTGGTAGAAGAGGTCTTTGTCGTCTGTATGTTCCAGCTAGTGACTGGGTGACAGAACCCCTTTGCTGATCTCTAGGGAAGGGAAACCAGAGTTTAAGGGCCATTTTCTTCTATTGATCATTTGTGTAAACTCCACTTAAGTTGCTTCTCCACAGGGACAGGCTCCCTGATCTCTGGAATCTAAAACTGTCCTCCTTTACAATGAGGAGAATCTGGGAGTCTTGACCACATTTCAGCAGCAGAAGTCCTGTGGTTTTTTTCAGAGTGAAATGCTAGTTAGTGGTGTGTCTCTGCTGTGCTTGCATTTTTGAAATGGGTGTGAAAAGCATATGCTGAGCATAATTCCTCCCCTTCCACCTCTTTGGAATAGCTAAGCCAGAAGAAGGACGGCCTACTGTGAGTACGACCGGAAATGACATCACCGCCCCTCCAAATAAGGAGCTCCCACCAAGTCCAGAAAAGAAAACAAAGGTAGGTACCAGAATGGTAGGGCATCTTCTTCCACTATAATTTTTTAAAACAGTATCTTCTGCTGTTGCTTGAATCATGAATGAAATTTCTTTTTTCTGAGCTGTTATGAGTCCTTTCTCAAATTTGGACATACTTAGAAAATATTTTATACTCCCATTTTACCATAATGTCCTAACACAAATCTTAAAATCTCTGCCTTTGACCCTGTTGTCTTGAATATCTGTAGAAATGTTCTGTAAAGGTTGTTTCTGCTTCCCTTAACAAGATGAAGAAAAAGGGTGATTGAAAAACTATTCTGAAATAGATTCTAAAACCCATTTTCATGAAAAGGAAAGGCAGATTTTTAAGATGGATCATAGCTTGAGACACTTATTTGTACTTATTGTAAAGTTCAAATGCCCCACTTAAAGTGGTCTTAAAACAGGATGCAACTGTTACACCACTGAGGTGCAGGTCATAATAGCTTAATCATCTGCAGATGTGTACTATTTTTGTTTTAGATTTATCGCAGGTGCCAAATGTTTAAACTTTTAAAGTTTAAATTGTTTAAAGCTATTTCTGAATTTAAATCTTTAGGTGCCAAACTCTAGGGACACTGTTTTTAAGAAACGATTTCTAAATATTTTATCTCTGTCCTGATTTAATTCCACCATTTATTGAACTCAGAAGAAAGAAATGCTAATTTTCAGTTGTACATATCCTCATTGCTTATAATTTTACTTTGACCTGTGCAATTTATGTTTTTTTTTAATTTGTTTTTATTTTTGTCTGTGTGTTTGATGTTGGCCCTATAAAAATAAAACAAAAACAACCAACAAATCAACCTAAAGCCTTTGGCCACCACTCAACCTGCAAAGACTTCAACGTCGAAAGCCAAACCACAGTCCATTTCTAGCCCTAAGCAGCCAGCTCCCACCACCATTGGTGGGCCGAATAAAAAACCTATGAGCCTTGCTTCAGGCTTAGTACCAGCCACCCCACCCAAACGCCCTGCTGCCGCCACTGCCAGGCCTTCCGTCTTACCTTCAAGAGACGGGAAGCCAAAGGTAAGTAGTCACCTAAGTACTATTCTAGGGAAAAGTTTCCCCCCTTGAGTATCAGATGGACAGGCTCTTGTTGCTGGTGGAATTGGAAAAGGCAAGGAAAGGATGATTCGAAATTAATGTGGGGGCCCACTGATACAGCCATCACGTATTGAAGCCCTTTTATACTTTTTTACCTTTCCCTGCTCTGGTTGGTGGCAATATTCTTAGTTTCTCCTCCTTTCTTCCAGCTCTTTCTTAACTCTTCACCTATTTAAACACTTGTTAACCAGTTTCCTGTACTTCCCATACTAATGAGTTATTCATTTTTGGTATAATTTCCATATCAAATTCAGTTCTTTGCTTTCTCTTCATTCTCCACAAGTAAATTTTACCCACTGCTTTTTGCTCTTCTAGCTTATCTCAGCAGGTTCCAGCATCACGTGATGATTTACTTTGATTTTGGTATTAGACTGCCTCTCACTTGCCCCCTTCTGAGGTTTTCCAGTTTTCCAGGTCACCCACACTCTCTTTGTTGCCCAGAAACTGGTCCCATTTGGAGCAGCATTAGCTTTACAGGATTGTTCCAGAAGGAGAGGGTAGGTGAGGCTGTGGCTGCCTTCCTCAGTGGCTATCCCAGCCCCATCATCTTGTTTTACTTGAGAAGGGCCTTTAGGTTAGCCTAATGTTACTCCTTAAATTTATGGTGGGAACTAGTTTCTCATGCTAAAATGTCAGTGTTTTAGTCTTGTACAGAAAACTGATGGGACCTAGGAATTCTAGTCTGGGCTGAAACTCTGGCCAAGAAACTGAGAAATTCTGTCATAGAATAGGAATGATAACATCTTGGAAAGCTTCCTCTCTGATTCTCATTTACCTAGCTTGCTTCTTTTCTTGATCTTTAGAAAACAGTTTATTTGAATAAGAAGGAAGAGGCCAAACAAAACACCACCAAGTGAAGCAGGCAGAGGCAAGGTGGCTGGAGCACCTCCCTCACTGCTTATTCAGCAGCAGATCCCAGGGGATATAGGAGGACGGGGGTGAGGGGTGGGGGTGGGGGTGGATCTAGTGACTGTTTCACTTCATAATAATAAAAATGAAGTGCACTGTATTAGTTTATTTACATACATTAATTCCTTTCATTCTGTCTGTCAGCAGCCCATGATGTAGATGCTAGCATCCTCATTTTATAGATGAGGAAGCTTACGCTCAGTTAAGTAACCTTCTTAAGGTCCCGTGCTGGTAAATGACAGAGTCAGTATTTGAACCTGAGTCTCCTCCAACCCTGATGCTCCAGGCCTCTTTCAACACTGTTCTGTCTCTTTTTGCCATGCAGCTTTTAGACAGCATTTTGAGATACAGCTGACCTAGAGAGGTGATCTGCATGATAATTAGTACTGTTGTTTATCTTTTAGATAAGAAACAGATGGAAACCTTTGGAGAGGTTGATAAAAACTAAGGTCTCCTCAAATTTATTTCTATCCTTTTTTTTTTTTTTCTTGGTGAGAACATTTGTAAAAGCAAAGGAAGAAAACTATTTTTTAAAAAATGGACCTACGATTCTGGCAGAGGAGAAAATAACAAGTCTAGGAATAGTCGAGTAACTCTAGTTATACGAGCAGGCTGGTTCTGCAGCTCACTGAGGCCAGGAGCCTGACATCTAAAGCATGTCACAACCATTAGATTTCTGTCCCAAGTAAATTTTTTCTAACATTTTTATCATTATTACTATTACTAGTGAAATAATAAGACCACACTAGATTATTCTGAATTGTTGTCAGAGTATTGAAATTTTGAAGGAATCTCCAGAAGCATCTGGTTTAGTCTTCAGATTTTAAGGCAGTCTTAGAGAAGTAACCCGTCTGCACAAAATCTCACCACATTGTCTTAGTCATCTAGTGCTGCTATAACAGAAATACCACAAGTGGATAGCTTCAACAAAGAGAAACTTATTCTCTCAATCTAGTAGACATCAGCTCCAGGGGAATGCTTTCTCTGTAGGCTCTGGAGTAAGGTGCTTTTCGTCAGTCTTCCCTTAGTCTGGGAGCATCTCAGCACAGGAGCCTCAGGTCCAAATGACGTGCTCTGCTCCTGGCACTGCTTTCTTGGTTATATGAGGTTCCCAACTCTCTGCTTGCTTCCCTTTTTATCTTTTGTAAGATAAAAGGTGGTGCTGGCCACATCATAGGGAAATTCCCTTTACAATGGATCAGGGATGTGACTTGAGCAAGGGTGTTGCGTCCCACCGTAATTCTCTTTAATCACAGGCAGAGATTATGATTTATAACACATAGGAAAATCACAAAATGGAGGACAACCACACAGTACTGGGAATCATGGCCTAACCAAGTTGACACATATTTTTGGGGGATATAATCAATCCATGACATACATATTCTCAACAAAAATGGGAGCAGAACCAACCCCCTGATTCCAACTTTGTGGTTCTTCATATCATACATACTCAGAGCCTACATTTGTGACAGTGGTCATTATCCTACATTTGCAGAGTTAGACTTTATTTAATTGGAAGCCAGCCCCTTAATTTCTGAGCACCTCCTTAGCTAATTTTCCACTAACCCAATATTCTTGTTGTCTCCACCAACACACTGCCCTTAGTGTGGCAGTTTGTCTTGGAGTGAGAAGCTGGATCCCCTGGTCTGTGGTTTGGCTTACTCTCTTGAGTCACATGGTATGTGTGTTTATCAAAGTAGTGTTTTCATCCCCTATTCTGTTAGAAACCAGGCTAAATTTATTCCTTCCCTTCCTCACTACAGACAACATTCTCTGCTTTCATGGGAGAGGAACTAGTGAGACCCACTTGCCATTCATCCACCCTTTGCTTTCACTTTTCCCTTCTGTTTTCCGTTCGTGGCTATGATAGCAGTCCTCCTGATGCTGACTGTCGGTCAGGCTCACACCATCTGCCTGCCGCTTCTCGTAGTCTCCGTGCTGTTGGACACCTCACATCCTCTCTTCCCTAACATCACACGTTATCAGAGCCACTCTTTTCCAGCCTCCATTTTCCACACTAAGGAAATAAAGCTCAGAGAGACTCAGTGATTTGCCCAAGAACACTGTTAGTGAGGGGCAAGACTGGGGCTGGAACGCAGGCTTCAGACACCGCCTGTGTCCTCTCCATCGGCAGAGCCATCCTGTTCAACATTCAGTGAGGACATGTAGGCCCCTACAGTGACTGAATTTGACTGAAATTAATTTTTAATTTTTCTTACAATTTTCGTATTTAATGCATCAACTCCACAGGAATGGGTTTGATTTGTTTTTTGTTTTTTTTTTGTAGGGGATGTTTATTAAATGCAAATGTCTTTGTTCAACTATATAGTACATTAGATTTCATTACATTAAATACATTAGTATAATAGATCCTGAGGTTGCGGTGTAGTATCCTTCTCAGGGCTCTGCATTCTCACTGGTTCAGGTAGTTTGACTCCCTTTTTCCTGATCCCTGTACAGCACCTGATGTGGCCAGTTTCTCCTTTTGTCTGGAGAACTTTGATCCTAGAGCCTTATATATTTTCCTGTCAGTAACTGCCGAGCCCACGGTACCCCTATTCTCTGGTGCATGATTATACAGAAGCATCCCTGTGGCATGACTTCCTGGGGCTATTGCTAATCCAAAGCTCTTACTTTCACTTTTCTGTTACCAGCCTGTTACAGAGGCAAAGATTCCTGAGAAGCGAGCCTCGCTACCCAAGCCGGCCTCTGCCCCGGCCACCAGACCCAGCTCCAAGAGCACCCAGACTGTTCTGAAAGGCCCAGCGACTGCCACTCCTGCTGCAGCTGTGCCAAGCAGTAGGACCCCCCCCATGCCTCTACCCAAAAGGCCCACTTGTGAGTATCATTTATCCTTCCCTCCCATGGGAACTAGAGGTGAGGAGCGTAGAGCTTTGGCTTCGCCGCAGCCATAGCTCCAGCCAGCATCACAGACAGCTATGCAGGTCAGCTTATAAACCAGCCATCAGTGGTGTACACTGAAGAGTGGCAGCCTGGTGGGTCTAGTCACTTAATAAACCTGGAGCTGCATGTAAGGCCATCAGTTCTGTATGCTCAGAATAATCTTGAATGAAGGGGACTCTCATCAGTGCCCAGGTAGAATTTACCATTCCTTTCTTTTTGACCCCATGGTGTGGTGATGGGCTTACCTGATGATAAAAAATAGGCAATTCAGTTCCATAAGCCTGTACTGATGACTTACTTCTAAGGCCGCGTGGAAGGCATTATAAAGACTATGGAGAAGAGTAGACGCAGTACCTGGTCTTGCAGGCTCCATAAGCTCAAGGTCTGTACACAGCAGATGAATTGACTGCTCTGTTCCAGAGAGTAGCACAGTTTCTTGCTCAAAGGAGATACTCAGTAGTTGTTGAATGAATGAGTGAATCTCAGTACTGGATGAGACATTCAGTAGGTCAGTTTGTTAAAAGTGTGTATTTGTTTGTGCAGCCATCAAGACTGAGGGAAAACTTGCAGACGTCAAGAAGGTGGCTGCGAAGTCTGCGCCAGGTGATAACCCCATCTTCTGCTTTGTAGAACCCTAACTTGAACTGCTTCCTTTTCTGTGGCTTCAAGGTTTCCTTTTGCTCTGATCCCCTGACCCCTTCGTTACCGCTCTCTTCTACCTTTACAGCTGACTTGAGTCGCCCAAAGAGCACCTCCACCACTTCTGTAAAGAAAAGCACCACTTCGACTGGGGCAGCACCCCCGGCAGGAGTGGCTCCCACCCGAGTCAAGCCCATGCCTGTGTCTCCACGGCCCTCTGTGACGCCTTCCAAGGACAAGAAGCCTGTGCCAGCCAAGCCCAACTCCTCTACCCTCAGTCTGAGCCGCCTTGGTACCAATGCTTCTTCCCCTGATTTGAAGAATGTCCGCTCCAAGGTTGGCTCCACGGAAAACATCAAACATCAGCCTGGAGGAGGCCGGGTAGGTCCCAGGATGTTGGGGTCCTTGGCATGCTGGCCCCTGCTTCTTCCTCTGCCACATCCAGCCCTGTTCCCCAGGCATGCCCTGGCTCTCCTGCCAAACCAAAGGGCCCATGAAAGAAAGGGAGAAGTCAGGACATCTGATTCAGAATCTGTTGAATTTCAGCCTGGGCTCCATAGTGGGCTTTGGGTCCCAGCAGCAGGGAAAGGATGGGCTGAGCTCTGCACTTTCTCTTCCCATCGCAATCAGAGGGGTTCCTGTTCTGTATATTGGGGTTTGGGCTTATGTTTTAGCTTGAAGGCAAAAGGGGTTCTTCTGCTTTTCAAAACAAACAGAGGCTTCTGAGACTCGCCAGGGGTGAAGGATACTGGTTGTAAACCCTGGAACCCAGTGTTCATCCTTCTCCCCTGCACTGTGAATGTCAGATAGGCAGAAGGTGGAGGCTTCTGCACACCACAATCCTGAGTTGGGTGGTACCTCTGAACAAGGACTAGGGCATCCTCTTGTGGCCAGAATTAGTTGCTGCAAGCTTTTGACTTTGCTAATAAACAAAAGGACTGTGTAGAGTATAGTGAGGGAGAAAGGTACAACAGGCCACAGTGCTCACTTTAAGGATTTGCTGGTTGCATGCACCCCAGAATTGTTAACTTTTAGCAACCACGGGACTCAGTCTGTGAAAAAGGTAGTGGCAAAAGTCCATCTGAGAATGTTCAAGTCCCTGAAGCAGTGACCTCCTCATCTCTGACATCATTCTCTAAAACTTAACCCCCCCCACACACACACACAGACACACATATCCAGAGTAAGATACTTAAATTGGCTTAATCCAGAGCCGGTAAAAAAAATCGAGGAGGGACCAAAATGACGCAGAATCCTGTGACTGTTGGAAGACAGTATGGCCAGCTTCAATGAGGTTGGGATAAGGGCCCAAGAGTTGCCTTTGTTAGGAGACTAGTGCTGGCACACCCAGCCAGGCCACTAGGGCTGCGGTGCTGATGACCTGTCTAGTGCTTTCATGTTGCAAAAGTTGCAGGAGGTCTCGGCAGGAAGTTCAATGGCTTGGTCTACCAGCATACCTGAGGCATGCAGCATTTTCCATCACTAACAAAAAGTGGTTCCCTGTGACCATGACAGTGTCCTTGGGGCGTTTTAGAATGTTTGTGTAGGACAGCAGTGTGATTTGAAAATGATAACCTCCCCACCACAAACCCACACCCAGATTAGAATCACTACCTTGATCTTCTCAGCCCTCTCTGTACCTTTTCTCCATTAATGGCATCTTGATCTCTGCCTTCCATCTCAGGATTTTGGCCTGTGGTTCCTCTCCCCACGTTCCTTTCTTCGAGGCTCTCTGGCTTGGTCTACCATGGGAAATGTGCTTTCTCCCCAGGAGCAAAGGTTGGCTTACAGCTGCCTGCTGTCCTGACTAGACTCGAGTCCCTGCAGCTCTCTTCCTTTCTTAGCATTTGGGCTCTTACCCTCTTTGTTTGAATTTGCCCTCCCTTTATCTCCATCCAGGCCAAAGTAGAGAAAAAAACAGAGGCAGCTGCTACAGCTCGAAAGCCTGAACCTAACGCAGTCACTAAAACAGCCGGCCCCATTGCGAGTGCACAGAAACCACCTGCTGGGAAAGTGAGTTTTGTCTAGACTTTTACCTCTTGAAGGTAAAAGATGGTAAAATATTCTTCCAGCCTGAGCCACTTTCCCTTCTTACACTTTGTTCCTATCCTGAACTAGCTGCTGCTTCTCCCCAGTGTTCCCTTCTCTGTGTTTGATGACTCAGCCGTCAGAAAATATTTTGCATTAACCCTGAACAGTAACACAGTTAACAGAGTCGGCTCTTGGGGAATACTTCTTCAGCTGGATAAAATGGCTCCAGAAACTTTCTCACTTCCTTCATACTGACCTGCATCTGAAGCCCACTTCTTATACATACACACACAAGCACACATGCAGGCACGGAGGACACCTAAGTTCCTCCTTGGTGACACTGGGCAGTGACATTCTTCTGGCACCTGGCACCTGGAGCCCCTGTGCTTCAGGTTGAGCTGGAAAGTTCCTCTCATAGTGCCACTGGGTATGGAGATAGCCTTATTTGTCCTGGTTTCCCACGTCACCTCTTAAGTGAAAGATAAGATGCTCATTCCCAACAGAAACCCCCTTAGCATAGGGGTTGCAGCATCATAGTTACACCAGCACCAACTTGAAGACAGAGGTAAGCTGGAACTCTAGGCTTCACACCCTGGAACCAGGCCCCTTTTGCTTGCTGTGGGACACCTTCATCCCTTAGCTGTAGTAGGTGAGTGAGTGAGCCTCTCTGGGATGGGACAGCATTTGCACAGTTGGGAAGGTGAGGAAGGTTGCAACGTGGCCTCTAGGTGACTGCTAGAGGTACTGTGGGTCTCTGGTTCAGACCAGGGCTCATTGGGAAGTGGTTTGCTAGCCATCACTGACATTGTAAAGAAGGCAGGAAGCGAGGTGTATGGGTTGGAGTTTCTGAGGGTGGATTTCTCTACTCTGTGGAAAACCTCAGCCTAGGGGTTGCATCATTTGGAAAGGGCCTTCACTCTGAAGAAAATGAAGGAAGCTGGAAACATTCCTTCTTGAAAAGACCCAACAAGAGTTCTTTGCTCCAGACTCTTACATCCATAGCCTTTGTGTTGGCCAATTCCAGAGGGCGCCATTGCTCACAATACAGGGTAACTTTGACCCCTGGGTTGTATATCAGAGCAGCCCTGCCTGGAGCCTGCTGCTCTTTGTGTACATGAAGCTCAGAGGACACAGGATTCGGACTGGAGAAGTTGTTTTAACCTTAGAATCAGAAAAGAAGTCTAGACCTAAATCCCTGGGCTCCGTGTGGCAGTGGGTCAGCTGCCTAGGCTGTAGCCGCTGCCCTAACTGGTGTCTAGGGTTTGATTTGCACTTGAGATTCTAAATGGTAGGGCCAGCAGCCTCTTTGACTCATTTTCATTTATATCTGAGTAATGTCCCTTTCCTCCTGTTGGTATCAGATCTATGCCTCATTAGCAAGCTGCCCATGATTCTCAAAGCAGCCTTGTTTCCAAGAGTGAGTGGCTGTAACAATTCCAAGCCCCGAATGTTAGGGCAAGTGCCCTCCTTGGGTGGGGGCCTGTCCAGATCAGGAGGGCCCCTGCAGAGAGGAGCCACAGGACCCTGTCCCAGCTCGTGGGGTCCTGCTGCTGTCTGGGCCTTGAGAACCACAGCCCAACACCCAAGGAGCAGTGGTGGGATGGTGCACATGTAGTGTTTGTGCACCATCTGCCTCTGTCATCATGTTGTTTGTTCATGTTTTCACTCCTTTTCTTGCTCCTTCAGATTTCTTCTCCTGTGCTTTTCCACACCTGCTCTGCTGAAGGTGGGGGTGGAGTTTTAACAACACTATTTGTTGGTCATTGTGGTCATGTGTGGACTTACTTCCTGCCCTGTGTTGGTTCTAACCAGCCCTCCCTCCTTGTGTTGTTTTTTTCTGTTCTCTAACACTCCAGGTCCAGATAGTCTCCAAAAAAATGAACTACAGCCATATTCAGTCCAAGTGTGGTTCCAAGGACAATATTAAGCATGTCCCTGGAGGTGGTAATGTAAGTATCAGCTCTGGACGGCTAGTGTCTGAGGCACAGCCCACTGCAGGGTATGCTGGGGAGAGGGCCACTGCCCATGCAGAAAGGACCGCAGAGGCCTCAGCCAGGGCTTTGCCCAAGAAGCAGTCTACAGAATTGAGGGGAAACACCAGCACTCAAAGGTTTTTACACCAGGTGTTTCTGGTGAGCCCCTAAACAACCACAACCTGCTGCCGCCCACTTGGTATCTTCTGACCCTGTGGGTGGGGGGCTCTCAGTCCTCTAGCTACATCAGAGACCTGGTCTGAGGGCAGCGGTCAGCAGCAGGCCTGTTACTTGTCTTGAGTCCACTCATAGGGATCAAGGTGGGGCTACAGCTGCAGAACAGATGCCTGGCAGGGTTCCTCCAGGATCCACAGCTCCTGGCAGGGTGCTGGCAAACCTCCCATGTGGCACCAGTATAGTCCCTACTCTGTGACAGAAGTCCAGACTGATCCAAAGCCCGTCTTTGAATCTCTGTTACTACAGAATCAGAGGATTAATCGACATCTTCCTCTTCTACCCTTTCTCTGCTTTTTTCTTTCTCTTACTCTCCTTGTCTCTCTTTTGTCTTTCCATTTTCTCCTGTCCTCTTTACCTTGTCCCATTTTCCTTTTCACTCTCGTTCCCCCGTGTTTTCCGGTTCTTTCTCCCTTTTCTCTACTTTTCTTTCTGTCCCCTTCCCTCTTCCATCTAACCATCTTTCCTTTTATCATGCTGCTATTCTGTGCTGGCCCTAAAATCTGTGTTGGGGACACAGAGGTGATTCCAGCTCACAGATGCCCTTGCCTAGGGAGAGACAGGGCACAGGGTCATTGTCATTAGAACACCTTGTGCATTTTCCATTTGCCTTGTCCCTATGACAGTGCCCAGGCAGAGCGGGGCTCTGCAGTGTGGGGCCAGTGGTATCTGTGGAGCTGTCCACTTGAAGCCTCTGCCCTTCCCTGCTTCTCCACCTGCTGCTTTTCCAACCCCAAGACTGAGAGCTCCATCTTGTCTCAGCCACTAGGTTCCTTTTCCTCGCTTTTCTGAGCTGGACGAAGTCTATGCCTTGGTAGTCATGCCGTTCTGCCTGTGATCTACAAACATCCCCTGCCCCCAGCAGTTGTAAGCACTCCTTTCTTGCCCCGCTCAAATCCTTCTTACTGCACCCCCTCCTAGTCATTCCCTCAGCAACAGTTCTTCCTGGTGTGAGTTGACACTGTTCCTCTTTGCGCTCAGGTGCTCCATGAACAGTGGCAGTGTTCTTGGCCAGCTTGGTAGTTAGCCAAACATTAGCCAACCTGGCACAGGATCAGCTGAGGTGGGTGAAGCTTTTAAAGGCAGTCAGTATCTGAGGTGATTCAAGATCCAACCTAGGAAGGGCCCAGATAGACCCTGGCCCTAGCTTTTCCTTTCAGGTTTTTGCCCTGGGTGGAAACAGAGGCAAACAGGGATTCTGAGGCAGTTTAGTGTGATCGTGTGGGTTTGACATAGGAGCGCATTTATCTCTGTTGTGCAGTGTACCAAAGAGCTCTAGACATAGTCATCATTTTTGATCACCCACTACAGTCTTTCCGTGCTGCCTACACGTGACTTCAAACAAGATTTGTTGGAAATCGGGGGGCTATACTTCTTCAAAAGCATTTTCTGTCAGTTCATTAACTACACAACATTAGGAAATTGAGAGCAGTGTTTCCAGGTAGGAAGAGGAGCGTGAGCAGCAGCAGCCAGAGCTTGGGTTTAGGTACTTTAGTCCCTTCCCTAACCTCCATAAGCCCCTTCGTACCACCGTGCTAAGTAAACATGCAGTTTAGAAACAATGGGCCTGCTCTGCAGACAGAACAGCATTACACTTGTAAGGCCTGTCCTAAACATCCCCCCCCACACACTCACTCCTTGATGACAGGGAAAAGGGCATCAGGAGAGGGAAGAGAGTGACATGTTGATTAGGTCAACATAGCGACTACTTCTGTGGCTGGGCGCAGTTTAAACTTCTGTGGCAGTTTTGGTTCCATTTCACCCTTGTGAGAAGGATACGTATGCATATTGAGTTCTAAGAGCGTTTTGCAGTGTCATTTCAACAAGCATATATTGATATCTGCGGTAAGCCTGAAGGTCGTCACAGGCCAGTGGGGATATTTGGTTAAACACATAGCTAGAGCAAGATGACATCAAGGACATCATACATGAAGAAAGCAAAAGGTCATTAAAAGACAGAAAAGACCAAAATGGATGTCAGAAGAGACTATGAAACTTGTTCTTGAACGTAGAATAGCTAAAACAAATGGAAGAAATGATGAAATAAAAGAGCTGAACAGAAAGTTTCATAGGGCTGTTCAAGAAGACAAAGTAAAGTATTACAATTAAACATGTGAAGAACTGGAGTTAGAAAACCAAAACGGAAGAATGCGCTTGGCATTTCTCAAGCTGAAAGAACTGAAGGAAAAATACAAGCCTCAAGCTGCCGTATTGAAGAATTCTATGGGCAGTATATTGAACGGAGCAGGAAGCCTCAAAAGAAGATGGAAGGAATACACAGTCACTGTACCAAAAAGAATTGGTTGGCATTCAGCAATTTCAGGAGGTAACCTACGATCAAGAACCAATGGTTTGAAGGAAGAAGTCCAAGCTGCACTAAAGGCGTTGGTGAAAAACAAGTCTCCAGGAATTGACGGAATACCAATTGAAATGTTTCAACAAACAAATACAATGCTGGAAGTGCTCACTCGTCTATGCCGAGAAATTTGGAAGACAGCTACCTGACCAGGTGACTGGAAGAGATCCGTGTTTGTGCCCATTCCAAAGAAAAGTGATTCAACAGAATGTGGAAATTATCAAACAATATCGTTAATGTCACAGGCAAGTAAAATTTTGCTGAAGATCATTCAAAAACATTTGCAGCAGTACATCGACAGGGGACTGGCAGAAATTCAAGCCAGATTCAGAAGAGGATGTGGAACAAGGAATATCATTGCTGATTTCAGATTGATGTTAGCTGAAAGTAGAGAATACCAGAAAGATGTTTATCTGTGTTTTATTGTCTTTGCATAGGCATTTGACTATGTAGATTGTAACAAATTATGGATAACTTTGTGAAGATGGGAATTCCAGAACATTTAATTGTGCTCATGTGGAACCTGTACGTAGACCAAGAGGCAGTCATTTGAACAAGAGGATACTGCAGGGTTTAAAATCAGAAAAGATGTGCATCAGGATTATATCCTTTCACCATACTTACTCAGTCTGTATGCTGAGCAAATAATCGAGAAGCTGGACTATATGAAGAAGAACGAGTCATCAGGATTGGAGGAAGACTCATTAACAATCTGTGTTATACAGATGACACAACCTTGCTTGCTGAAAGTGAAGAGGATTTGAAGCACTTAACTGATGAAGATCAAAGACTGCAGCCCCTCAGTATGGATTACACCTAAACATAAAGAAGACAGAAATTCTCACAACTGGACCAACAAGCAACATCATAGTAAAGAGAGAAGTACTGAAGTTGTCAAGGATTTCATTTTACTTGGATCCACAATCAACGCCCATGGCAGCAGTAGTCAGAAAATCAAAGGGTGCATTGCACTGGGCAAGTCTGCTGCAAATGACCTCTTTAAAGCTTAGAAAAGCAAAGATACCACTTTGAAGACTAAGGTACACCTGACCCAAGCCACAGTATTTTCATTTGCCTTATATGCATGCAAAAGCTAGACAATGAATAAGGAAGACCGAAGAAGAATTGACGCCTTTGAATTACAGTGTTGGCAAAGAATATTGAATATGCCCTGGACTGCCAGAAAAATGAACAGATCTGTCTTAGAAGAAGTACAGCCAGAATGCTCCTTAGAAGAGAGGATGATGAGACTTCATCTCATGTACTTGCGACAGGTTATCAGGAGGGACCAATCCCTGGAGAAGGACATCAGTCATGCTTGTTAAAGTAGAGGGTCAGTGAAAAAGAGAAAGAATGTCAACAAGATGGATTGACGAAGTGGATGCAACAGCGGGCTTAAACGTAGCAATGATTGTGAGGATGGCACAGGACCGGGTAGTGTTTCATTCTGTTGTTCGTAGGGTCACTGTGAGTCAGAACTGACTCGACAGCACCTAACAACAACAGAGCAAGATAACAGTGAGTGCTGTGGTTGGTTGTGTACCAGGAAGAGACTCACAGGGTTAGGGCAGTAGCTTCTGCAGGCCATCAGGCTTCACTGTGAGAGGACCTTTGTGCCAATCCTTGAAGGGTGAGAGTCACAGATCTTCGGCTAGAGAAGCAGCACGTGGCTCCATGAGGGTGGAGCATAGAGCAGTAGGGAGTGGAGGGAAAGACACACGGGTAAGATGTTTGGAAGCCGACTGCAGAGCTGTCTGCATGCCAGCGCAAAGAGGTAGACTTTATCTTAGAGGCAGTGGATGCTGTTAAGTGAATGAGACACAACTAAGCTTTTTTAAACTTTTAATTATGAAAATTTTCAAACATATGCAAAGGTAGACAAAATAGTAAAATGAACTTGATGTATCATATACTCAGTTATTACCTAATGGCCAATATTGTTTTATCTATATATGCCCACTCTGAGTATTTTAGAGCCCGTCTCACATATATCATTTCATCTGCCAATATTTTACCACGTAACTTGAAAAGATAGAGATTTTTAAAACTAACATAAACCCACTAACATGCTAAATATGTTGTTCATTTGAATCAGGGTCCAAATAAGGTCCATAGATTGTGATTGGTTGATTTGTATCTTAGGTCTCTTTGAACCTTAAGTTTCTTTTACTCTACAAGTTCCCTCTCCTTCTCCCACTCCCTGCCAGCAATTTTTTCATGAATAAACTGGGTGGTTTGTCCTAGAATCTGGATTTTTCTGATTATATTCCCATGGTTTCATTTAGCATATTCCTTTGTCCCTCAATTTTCTGTAAGTTGATTCAGGTTTGATCCCCGCCCCCCATATTGGCAAGACTTTCGTAGAAAAGATTTTTTTCTGTCAGGAGGCACATCATGTCTCATTCTTCTGGTTACCTCTTTGTTGGTCACCTCTGTGTTGGCAGCTGTTGTTGCTCAGTACCTAGGTCCAGGAGTTCAATAGGAGCATACAGTGGAGAGAGACTCCTATCATCCATTTATGAGCTGGAATACGTCTGCGAAGGGAAACCTCCCCTCAACAACTAGGCTTTGAGTGATTGCAAGAGGTAGAGAAGTATAGGCTTCCAGAACACGCTATCGAAAATATGTGGGGTCAGTACCTTGCAGAGTTCCCAGGCCTTCGAGGGTGACCTCTGTTAAGGCCTCCCAGGCAGTCCTGGGGCTTCCCTTTCAGTTTAGGGATCGTGCAAGCTAAGCTTGTCACCATTGCTGCTGGACACATGGCAGGCAGATTGGCTCGGTTTAAGCAGCTGCTAGATCTTTTTGCTGGAAAAAGTACACTTTCCCTGTGCTACCTTTGTGAGGAACAAGAATGGGGAGATATGTGGGTGAGGCCATGATGGCCTCCTCTTTCTAAATTGGCCATTTTTCCCCTGACAGATAAAACACAATGCCTTGTTCTAACGTCAGATGTAGCATGTACAGTGGTTTGACCACCAATTCTGTAGCTGGGGGATTCTGCCTTCCGTCAGTACATATTTAGGGGCTGCCTGCAATATATCATAAATTCCTTTCACAACAGAGGGTCCTCGACAGAGCTGGAGAGAAATGTAGAACAAAATTATAACTCACAAAAAAAGACCAGACTTACTGGCCTGACAGAGACAGGAGAAGCCCCAAGAGTATGGCCCCCAGACACCCTTTTAGCTCAGTAATGAAGTCACTCCTGAGGTTTACCATTCAGCCAAAGATTAGACAGCCCCATAAAACAAAATGAGACTAATGGAGCACAACAGCCCAGGGACAAGGACTAGAAGGCATGAGGGGACAGGAAAGCTGGAAACAGGGAACCCAAGGTCGAAAAGGGTGAGTATTGACATGTGGTGGGGTTGTTAACCAATGTCATAAAACAATATGCATACTTACTGTTTAATGAGAAACTGTTCTATAAACCTTGATCTAAAGTACAATGAATAAATTCCTTCCATGTTGAGGATACCTATAAATATCTGAGGAATGAACTATAGATTGAGGAGAAAAAGAGGACATTGATCCTGCAGCCTTGTGAGAAAGATGAGACAGAGTAGAGACTGCATTGTGACTGTAGTTTCCCCAACACTAGTGGAGTATTCAGCATGCAGTGGGTACCCTGTAAATGATTATTGAATGCACGAGGCAATAACTGTTCATGATGATGGGAAGGAGAGATGGACTGAAGCTAGAGCCAGGAAAGGTTTTGGAGAAGGTGGCCTTTGAGCTGGGCCTTGAAGGGTGGGAGGAGGTCATAGTAGTCCTGCTAGGTTAGGGAACAGCATGAGCAGAAACCTAGAGGCAAGAGTGAGGATGGCTCAGCGAGCTGACAGTCATAGGTGGATACTCTGTGTCAGGCCTTGTGCTGGGGCAGGAATACAGAAATACAGTCGGCACCAAATCTGCCCTCTGGAGACCCTGTTTCCTGACATTGGAGAAAGGACAAAGGTCCTTGTTATAGAATAAATTGTGTTCCCAAAAAATATGTGTTGAATTCCTGGCCCTTGTACCTGTGGATGTGATCCTGTTTGGAAATAGGGTTTTTCTTTTGTTATATGTTAATGAGAGGTCATACCAGTATAGGGTGGATCCTAAACTTAATCACTTCTGAGTTATAAAAACACCAGAATAGACCCTGAGGCACACAGGGGAAAGAAGAAGACAGAGACAGAGACAGATGCATCTCCAAGCCCAGAATTGCTGGCAGATACCAGAAGCTGCAATAGCCAAGGAAGCACCTCCTGTTAGAGCCACACCCTGAATTCAGACATCTAGCTTCCAGAGCTGTGAGAAAATAAATTTCTGTTCTTTAAAGCCACCCACTTGTAGTATTTGTCTTACAGCAGCACTAGGTAAGACAGCCCTAGGAGACAACCATTTGACAACATTGGGGTGAAACCCCACTAGAATGGTGTGACCGACCCACTGGCAGGGCTTTATGGGCCACCGCATAATGGGGTTGTGTTGGAAAGCCAGACTTTTACAGTACTGGGGAGCAGGTGGGCCACTCACAGGAACCCTAGAATCCCCATCGTAGTATCCCAGAGGGAACTCACGTCTGTGGATGTTGTTACCTGATTTAAAGAAGTTCTGTCAGTCCTGGTACCGGTATTTTCCAATGCTCCTGCAGGGCACACATTAATGAAAGTCTGTTGGCCATCTTGAAAGCAGGACTGAGTGTAGAGGACCCCCAAACTAATCTCCAGCCCCAAGGCATTTCTGTACCATCATTCATTTTAAATAAATAATCTTGCAAGGCAGTTCATCTTTTTGATTATTCTCCAAACATGGGCAGCATGTCTGCTTAGTGAATGGCCTGGTGAGGGGAGGTGTGTAGGGAGCAGAAGGGCATATCGGGCATAGTCTCTGCAGATGTAGTGTTCCGGGCTGCTGGGAGAGGTCGGGTGAACACATTGTACCCAGCAGAGCTTTTCTACTGGCTGGTGGAAAAGCGGAGTGCTCCATGGGAGAGTGAGGTGGCCTTTCTTGCAGTTGGTTGCTAAGCACTTGAAAAAGGTTAACTTTAGTAATAACCAGAGCAACTAAAACAAACCATCTTTCCCTAAAAATTAGCAAGATTTTTTCTTTAACAAGAATATCCAATGCTGGGAGGATGTGGTGAGACAAACACGTAAGCTCTGCCGGTGGAGGTGTCAGTTGTAGCAACTCTGGGAAGCAGCTTGGCAGTATTTTTCAAGGACCTTAAAACGGTCTAACTCTTTGACCGGGTAACTGCACTCTAGGCTCTAGGCATGTCACCTGAGGGAGTCACCGGAATTGCAAAGACTTATTTCTAAAGACAGTCATTGCTGCCGTGTTTATAATAATGAAAAACGGGAAATAAACTCAGTATTCAATATTAGGAATATGGTTAGGTTTATATAGAATATTATAGGATAAATTATTACGTGGCCATTTCTTTGCATAAGTTTGTGGGAAAGTGCTTACAATGTCTCTTAAGCAGGAATACAAAATCTTACATATATATATGGCTGTACTCTCAGCCATGAGGGGGAAAATGCATTTAAAAGACTGGTAGAAAATATGCCAAAATGTTATTCCAAGTTATCTCTGGACAAGGGGTTTATGGGTAAGGTTTTGAGGTGAAACAAACATTTTAGGAAAACCTTGAGGTTTTGGTGCCAGTAAAGTGGGAGAAGAACCGCCTGTGAAGAAGGTGTACCAGCAGGATCAGGATGGAAAGGCCTGTGTGTGTGGGAAACAGACTGGATTGGTCTGGCTGGAGCAGCAGTCAGAAGCAAAGAGCAGGGCCAGGATGGTTCAAGGGCTCTTTCAGGCATTTTGGGAGGTGACCCTGACCTTGAGCAGACTGAGACAGGGGTGACAGAGGGAGAAAATAAACTTGAACATGGAGAAGATTATAAAGGTAGCATGGATTTGGTGCTGACGATATCGCTCTCTAAGGTAATGGTTTCTTCATATTCTTTTCCTCAGATTCAGATTCAGAACAAGAAAGTGGACCTATCTAAAGTCTCCTCCAAATGTGGATCCAAGGCTAACATCAAGCACAAGCCTGGTGAGTGGTGCCTCCCTTGCCACCAGAACTCCCAGGGGCGAGTAGGCCTGCCAGGGGCCAGCTGGGCAGCTCTTTGGCTGGGAAGGGTCTCATTCTTACGTCTTACCATTCCACGAACATTCAGGGATTCACCTCCCACCAGCCAGGACACAGTGGTGGAAACACAGTCTGCAGTCCCTGTCAGGGAGGGAGGAGCAGGACACTCACATCTTAGTTGGAGGAAGAGCAGCGTATAAAGGCTGTCCTTTGCATGGGTGTTCTCTTGAACACCTGCTGTGTGCATGGCATGTGGACCTAGGCCTAAGGGAGAGGTGTGCTCTAGGTTGGGAACCTGGGTCAGCTCCTGCAGGGGCATTCCAGGTGTTGATACTGCAGGAGCTCCAAAGAGAGTGGTGGTTGGGACTTGCCCATCAGATTCAGGAGCAAACGAGGCTCCCAAGCCGTGAAGCATCACCTGCCAGCCCTGGCAGGAGCTGGAGAGCCACTGAATGTAACGCTGCTTAGGCCCACGAACAAGGACCTTCCAACTGCAGCAATGCTGCTTCCTTCCAGCAACACACAACAGACCCCCCGCAGCCTCTCAGCACCGACTGTGCTTCTCCTTGGCTCTGACCCTAACAGCCTTGTGTGGCCCGATTCCTGAGTCTACAGCAGAGTTAGGGGCAGGGAAGTATTACTGCAGCATCGGGGACACCGGCCTCTCAGGAGGTCAACCACCACGGACCACTTAAGGTCAAGACAAAGAACAGCCTTCTGTCTCAGCAAAGACTGTATAATCCATTTTAGAATGTGTTCTATTTAAAGGATTAAAACAGCTTGGCCCTTAGCTAACCTTTACCTTTTCCTTTTTTTTTAATTACAAACCAACCGAACTAACGCCGTGAGGTGCTAGATGTACCTGAATAGCATCAGCAACTGTAGCCTCTTTTTTTTTGTGGCGGCGGGGGGCGTCTCTCTTGTTGTAAAGTTACATGTAACACAGTATTTGCTGTTTTGGCCTTTCTCTGGTTGACAACTAGTGACATCAGCTACCCTCGTCTGGTTGTGCAGCCATCACCCTTAATCGTTGCCAGTTTCCCCTTTTATCTAGGAAATCCACTCTAGAGGGACCTCCTTCCCTAGTGACACTAAGTGACTTGGGGTCTAGTTTTTGGCTGAGGTCAGGACTCCGGTGTGTCAGACACCTGGAGGCAGGAAGCTGGGTGTTGAGGTTTGCAATGTGAAGGGGAATGGAAGAGGGAGAGAAGGGGTCAGAAGGGAAGCCAAGCTGCTGGACCTTGGAGGGGCAGGGCACCTGGCTGAGGGAATCTGGCCACACACCCCCTCCTTTGATCTCTGGCCAGTAAGCTCTGAACCTTGCACCTCCTCTTGTGTAGAGGTGGCCTTCCCTCCTCACCCCAGCCGGAGGGCGCTGGGGACAGGCCACGGCCGGGCTGGTTCACGGCTGCCCTTTCTCCACTCACAGTCCCCAGGCCACTTGCCTCTTCCTACCTTTCCTTCTTTTCACTGTCGTGGGATTCGGTTAAAGGGCTCAGACAGGCTAGTCACATCCTGCCCGTCAGCCACTAGCTTGGTGACTTTGGGCAAATCATGTTTCCAGCCTCAGTTTTAGCAGCTTTAAAGGAAGGATCACGACCCTGACTGATAGGGCATTCCTGAGAATCGAGGAGGCCGTGCTCAAGAGCGCTGTGCTACCTGGTTAGCCTCCCTCCCTCCCGCTTCTCCCCACACAAAGGAGCCATCGTATGGCCATAAGGGGGCTCTCCCTAGGCTGCCCTCTGCACTCGGCCTGCAGGCCTGGTTAGCAGCTGCACATTGGAAGCTGGGAGGGTGATGAGGGTGCAGTGCTGGCACAGGGCTTTTCTTTACTGTGGCGGCATTCCCACTGCTGGATGGAAAGACTCTCTCAGCCTGACTGGGGTCAGAGCAGTCCTATTTTAACAACCATGCTCACTGTGCCTCCTTGTTTTTCCTCAGAAGCACCTGGGGGAGGTCATGTTTTCCCTTCCTAGACAGGGCACACAACCAGTCTTTGGCCAAGCTAGAATTCCTGTTCCAGCCTCCTGGCTCTACCTGCAGGGGTATTTCTCTGACATCCTTAGTGACCAGCTAATTTTTTTTCTGGTTCCAGGCGGAGGAGATGTCAAGATTGAAAGTCAGAAGTTGAACTTCAAGGAGAAGGCCCAGGCGAAGGTGGGATCCCTCGATAATGTGGGCCACCTGCCTGCGGGAGGTGCTGTGAAGGTAGCGAGTGGGTCACAAGGGAGACGCAGCTGGGCAGGGGTGGGAGTTGTGCAGCGAGGGTCAGGGTCCCAGCAGGTGGGCACCTGTCACCGCCCCTCAGTCTCTTCAGGAGTATGTTTTCACCCATCCCATTGTCTATCATCAGTCCTGAGTGAGGCAGGAGAGGTATGAAGCCCCCACCTAGCCACATCTCTCCTGCCCTTGCTCCTGAACTCAGCCTGTTCCCTGAGAGCCATGGCCTCCCTTACCTGTTGAGGCTGTGAGCCCATCCCAGCAATTGGGAGAGGGACTGTGGGCTGGGGCACAGACCACCATGAGGCAGAGTCTGCACCTTACACGGTTCTGCCAGCTGCCTCATGATGGAGGGGAATGTGGGTGCCTCCTCCGTGGCAGGCTTCATTCCTGGCCTGGAAGCAGAATGGCACATTTTTGAATGCCAGGGGCAGCAGGCCTGGCATCCACCTGACTCTGGAGGGCCTGCCCACGGCCCCCCAGCTCGGCACTCTGGGAGAGCTGCCCATCCTCAGGACTGGCTGGGCTTCTCCTCCCTCTTTCCCACCGCCCCCCTCTCCTTCCACAGTCCCGTGAGACCCTCTGTGTGCCAAGACACTGTCTGTCCTTTGTTCTGTGGCGTTGTGGTTAGGGGCCCATGGAGCAGCACCTAGTAGGCTTCCGAACATGAGAGAGCTGCAGCTGCTCAGGGATGGGAGAGCAGGGAGAGCGTGGGGCAGCTGCTCGGGGCCTCCCTCCCCCATCTGATTTGCTCAACCTCGTGGTCCCCAGCCTGTCCCATCATCCATCCTCTGTCAGGGCACCAATCCAAGCCCTGCCCAGCTTCACTGAGCATTTTTGGGGTGCTTGGGTTCTCAGTTCACACCCCCAGCACCTTGTGAGGATGCCGTTCTTGAGTCTGTTGTGACTTGAGTCTCTTGTCTCAGGAGAACGTTTCCTCAGGTTTAGTCACTTGTCCATGGCCAGCAGCAAGTTAATGTAGCACAAGACTCAGGCCTGGGTGTTTCCATCCCGAAATCTGGTGCTTTTTTCTTTATTCACATTATTTCCCTTTGCTTATTATTTCTGGAATTATTTTTCTAGTACAGAGGCTTGTTCCTTTCTCAATTCTGAGTAAAACCCACTGCAAAGTCTCCATTGTCTCCTTTTGGATTAAAGATTGAACGCTAAGGGGTTCAGACATTCTGGGGTCCAGGTCTTCCAGTCACCAGTGGCCTCCCACCATTATTCCCTCTCTGCTTTGCTCACTCTGTGTGTTCACTGTCCCCAAATGTCCTTGTCCTCCCGTGAAGCCTACAGGCCCCAGGTGTCCCCCTGGTCACACCTCCTTGGCTCTTCCTGTGCTCATCGTATCTTGTCTCCTTCCCAGAGCCACCTTCTTCCTCTCTCCCCCGTGTCTGGGACACGTGAACAGATGGATGACCGGTCAGTGGCCCCAGACATTACTGAGGAAGCATCTCGGAGCACATGCCATGTGCAGGAGGTGCTCTGGGATTCTTCCAGTCAGAGGTTTCAGGTTGTCCCCCTTGGAAGCTGATTTCAAGCTCCTAGGGTTCTCTAACTGGCTCACAGCACCCCTGCTTCCCAATCAAGTCCAGTCCCACAGTCTGGAGATTGTCCTTCAGTTTTTGCTAAATATCTGCTGTCACAGCTACTTTTTTACATGGTACCAGCCTAGTGCAGAGGCCTGGCACCTCTCACTCAGCAGCTTGGGGAGTGTGTCACCACCAGGGCTGCCCAGCTGGGACCAGAGCTGTGCTCACCTCCCAGAGCCCCGGGCTCCTGCTCTGCTCAGTGGCTGAAGTCAGGCGGGGCCGCCGGGGTGAGATACTCCTGCTGACTGGGCCTTAATCCCGGGGAGCAGGGGGCAGGGTGGGGGCTGTGTGTGAATCCGCTGTCACTTCATCCCACTCCCTCCCCAACTGACCCTGCATTGTCTCCCCCACTGTTTCATTGTAGACTGAGGGCGGTGGCAGCGAGGCCCTTCCGTGTCCGGGCCCCCCTGCTGGGGAGGAGCCAGCCATCCCTGAGGCAGCACCTGAAGCTGGCACCCCCACTTTGGCCAGTGGCCTCAGTGGCCACACCACCCTGTCAGGGGGTGGTGACCAAAGGGAGGTGCAGGCCTTGGACAGCCAGATCCAGGAGACAAGTAAGTGGCTGGGCTCAGCCTGGGGGCCAGCCAGGGGCCCTGCCACTGGCCACAAATTGAAACTCCTTTGTTTGTTGACTAGAGTGTGGCCTAACTTTTAACGAAGCAACCTTTTATTTTCCAGGCATCTAATGATGACATTCTGGTCTCGTCTTCCGTCCCCTGTTCCCCCTCTTGTCTCCCTGTTGCCCTCTCCCCACCCTCCTCCCGTGTCACTGCAGATTGAGACCTACAGGCTGACGTTCCGGGCAAACGCCAGGGCCCGCACCGACCACGGGGCTGACATTGTCTCCCGGCCCCCCCACTTCCCTGGCGGCCCCAGCTTGGGCACCCGGGCCCCTGGTTCCCTCTCCCAGGCTGCCCAGTAGACATGTGACCGCGTGGGCACTGGGCAGCCCACTAGGCCCCCCACAGCCCCGCCTCACTCGCCAGGGCAGCAGCAGTCCCACCGCCACACCTTCTCCCACTGCCTCCCCTGGGCCTGGCTCCCTGCTTTGCTCCTGTCCCCACTTAGTGCCACTGTGCCCCAGAAGAGGCTGGGAGGGGGTGAGGTGGGTGCGGCTAAGTTGGGGTCTTGTGGTGTCTGGGATGGGAGGAACCCGATTCCAACCTTCTCTTCATTCGTTTGGTGTTTTGGACTGAACCCCAGAGAAACTGCCGTGCCCTCCCCATCCCTGGGTCCACCTGGAGGAAGAGCGGAGGTGGATCTGGGTGATGAGCGTGCTGCCTGCCTCCCCTGGGGCCCCCTAAGCCGCTGCCTCTCCCTTCAGCCCCACAGGGACACCCACCATGCAGGCGGGGCCAGCCCCCTTCTTGCTGTCCTGCCCGAAGTTAGTTAGGGGTCAGTGCTGCCTGGCCCTGCTGCTTTCCATACCTGCCCAGCTGCTGTCGGAATTTTCTTTTACTCATTTTATCTTTTGTTTGTTTCTAATAATATGAAAACTGGTGGAGTAGTTTTGCAGGTTGAGGCCATGTCTGAATGAAAGTCCTCAGTAGGTGTTGAAGGAAACAGGGAAGGGAGATCCGTAAGCCTCCACCCAGGAGGATGTCCAGCCTTGGATGCTGGAGCTGCCCACCCCGTGGGGCCAGTCCTGCTTGGGCAGCCTGGGCCCTGGAGACAGGTGGGCAGGGAAGGGGCTGTGGTGGGGCGGTGGCCTGGTGAATGGGCTGGAGCACTAGGTGCTGGTCAGTGTGGAGTGGTGGTGTTGGCATTGTGTGTGTGTGCTGCTTCTCGCTTCTAACCAAGAGGCTGGTTTTGTGTCTTGTTCCCTGGGGTCTGGTGGGAGATACAAGAGCAGGGTTGGGGGAACAAGGAAGGGCCAAGGACCTCAGAATCCTCCAGGCCTGCACCTGTAGGCCTAGGACACTCAGGCCCTCATTAGGGAAGCCAGAGGTGTCCAGAACTCACGTGGATAGTGGGGAATCAGGTCTGGAAATTTAAAATAAAGGCATGAGACTGAGGCTGGCCTGCAGAGGGGTGTCCCAGCTCAGCCCGCTCTTGGGGGGCTGCAGTGATGGGAAATCCTGGGAATTGTATTGACATGAAGATTCTTATTGCACTTGTATTTTTTGTATTAAAGTTTGCATGGTTTCTAATAAAGGATTAAAACGTAACAGTTTGTAGTGGAGTGGCCTGGGAGTGTCCACAGGCTTCCCCTGGAAGAGCATTTCCTGCGGTGCAGATTTGCCTCTGAGGACGCCCTCCTCTTGGCCTCAGCCCCTCTGCTCCTGGTGTCCCTTGGAGCTGGAGAAGGCAAGTGTCTGCTTAGGTTCAGATTTGATCTCTGTGCATAGGGAGGACATCCCTGGGCCTGGCAGTTTCTTCTCATTTCTTAGAATTACCTTGGGGAGGTTTGACACTGCATCTGCAGCTTCCCCAGCACGTCCCAAGAAGTTGGAGGTGGCGATGTCTTGTGGAAGCGTTCTTGGAGCCAAAGGCTTTCCTCCCCAGAGACCATTTGCAGAGTGCTTCAGTTGTGCCGGTGACATGAGGGCGCCAGGGCTTTGGCAGGAGGAGGAAGCAGTTGCAGGGAGGGGGTAGTCAGGAGATACAGCAGGGGCAGCAGTGCAGGCTGTGAAGGTCCTGGGTCCGCGAGGATGATTTGACAGTAGGGTCCTTTCACTGGTTTAGCCAAAGCTAGGGTGGAGGCATTAACCGGAGTGGAGTATTCTCCAGGTGTCTGCTCACAGCTCTGCTGAAAGGTCCCGTGAGCCAGAGAACCTGAGAAGGCTGTCCTGCCAGGTGAGGACACCTGTGTGACGTGTACCACACTGCAGCCCTTTGGGGTGGATATTTCTGTATTTCCCAATTTGCTTATGGCCATTACCCTCATCAATCTGTGATCCTGTTGTAAACATTTAAAGACTAAATAAAGCCGTGTGATGTCCCACCACGTGGGCCCTGCGCTTCCTTCCTCCATGTCCTGGTTGGTCTCCACCTCCACCTTCAGTATCCGGGACGCTCCTGGCTAGTCCTCTTGCATAGAGGAACTGGTGTGCACTCTGGATGACCTCAGCCCACAGCTGTCAAATCTGCGGGCGTGACCAAGGGAACATAATGGCTGTACTTGTGGCAAAAGCTGCTGGACAAACCCTTGAGGGCTAAGGTCCAAGTGGTCTTGGTTGCCTATGGACCTCTCCCCACAGTCTGCCTGGGCCTAGGGAGTGACAACCAATGAGAACACACTGAAGACCACCGCCCAGGGAGGGGGCTCCTCAACCCGTGCTTCCCAAAACTGCAAGGACAGTGACAGCTCGCTCTGAGTGGCCACGCAGGGTGATGGCAGGCCGCCCTCGAGGTTAGCACAGGGAGCTGCAGGGAGAACCTAGATCCAAGCAGATTTCCTCGAGGATGACCCAAGAGCAGGAGCGATCACAAAAGACTGGGGCTGGCACACGTTGTTCAAGCTGGTGACAGGCACTGGTGGTTCAAGCTCTCAGAGGGGTGGTTTCTAAGCCTTTGCTTCCTGAGACCTTGGGCCCTGTCCCCCAGTAGTAAGCATCTGTCCTCCCTTCTCTGCCTGCCTTTTCCCTCAGTTTGGGAAAGGGTGGCCTGCAGCCCAGTGTGCTGAGGCCCTGAGAGAGGACCCCAGAGAGAGCGATGCTCACAAGGGATAAATAGAACTTTATTTTAAATAAACATATGCACTCTGTACACAGCCCCAGCGGAAGCAGGGCTCAGTCATCAGCTGCCTTGCGCACATCAAAGCTGCCACAGGGTCCACGCAGCAGTTCTGCCAGGAGGGCAAGCAGCTGCCCATGTTCCTGCTGCACGCTGAGTGGCAGTGCAGCCAGCTCGCTGCGCAGGCTCCGCTCCACCATGCGGCCCAGGGCCCGGCGCAGCTCCTTCAGCAGCCGCACGGTGCGCGAGTCGCCCTCCAGCCTCAGCAGGTCACTGTCACTCAGTGAGATGGTGGCCCGGCGCCCATCATCTGGGGGAGAGATGGTGGGCACCAAAGTGAGGCCAGGCCCGAGAAAATGAACCAGCCTGAGGAGTCAGGGTGGGGGGTCTGCAAGTACCCACCACGGATGTGGACATCCCCGTCGGTCAGTAGCAGCACAGCTAGTGGGTGCACCTGGGAGGAGTCCCGGACAAAGACACTGCCATTGGACTTGACGGCCATGAAATAAGTCAGCCACCGGCTCCGCAGCCGTGTGGCCTCCCTAGGGAACACAGGGTTGGGTGAGGCTACCCTTCTGGCCTTTTCCAGCTACCCTGCCCAGCCCTGCCTGCCCCCAACCTGTTAATGGTCGACTTGTGCAGCAGGATGTTGCCTGATTTGGTCCTGTATGTGACACTGTTGGGCTTGAACTTCCCCTGCCGGGTCACCTTGCCCTGCCTCACCTGCAGGGATGGAGGAAAAGATGGATGGGGCTGAACAAGGAGCTGGGGGTGGAGGAAGCTGGGGCTGGCCAACTCCCCCTCCCATGGCCAGCACCTGGATGAGGTTGGGATAGAGGCCAGCCATCAGCACGCCCTTCACCAGCTCCTCTTCCTCACTGTACTCGTTGCACTGGGCAGAGGCCAGGGTGCAGTCCGAGGGCTTCCCCACCAGGAAGGCCTCGTAAATGTTCTCAGAGAACTGCTTGATGAGGCCTGGGGAGGCAAAATGCAAGGTGAACCGAGGCCTCCCACATAAGCCCAGTAGGGGTGGGAGGGGCAGACGGGCTCCAAAAACCAGGTGTGGGCCCAGCTGACCATGGATGAAGCGCAAGCTGGGCGCGTAGAGCAGGTTCTCCTCCAGGTAGTTCTCCCGGGAGCTGCGGTCCTGCCAGCGCAGCACTTCCTCCCAGCCAGCCACAGCCCGCACAAAGGCCAGGTGGTCACTGCCACTGTCGTGACTCAACAGTGCCTTCACCTGGAAGGGCAGAGAGGGGTCTGGGTCAAAGCGGAGGGGGTCAAGGCAGCCCCCTCAGGACTGCAGGTGGTGAAGGGTAGGAAGGGGGAGCCAGAAGGCTATGAGAAGGAGCTGGGTCTGACCTTGTCCACCTCCGCCCGGTTCTGCAGGCTGCTGCTGAAGGGGTCCCGGGTGAGGCAGGAAACGACCACCAGCAGCGGGTGCAGGCAACGGAAGATGGCAGCCAGCACGATGGCCTTGGCCAGACGGGGGTCGGTGGAGATGTGGGCTAGGCGCTGCCCCAGGGTGGTCAGGTACTCTCGCTGGTCCAGCACCCCTGCAATAGCTCAGCCATCAGCCCCCGCCCCTCACAGTCACTCCACTGCCCAGCCCAGCCCCAACTCACCGATCTCCTGTAGCAAGATCACAGCCTCGTCCACTGCCTTGATGTCTGGACTGTCCACAGCCTTGGAGAGGAATTCCACTGCCTACAAGGAAGACAAGCCAGGGCCCACCATGAGCCTGTTCCCGCCGGCCTGTCTCCAGGCCAGCCCACACCTGGCCCTGCCCCGCACACCGTCTTCTCAGGCATGTGGATCTTGGCTTGCAGCACCAGGTTCTCAAGGGGCGTGCGCAGGATCTCTGGCACTTGGAAAGGGGCCATTTTCTCCAGCCGGCTGCGTGGGAACAGGTGGTAGGCAAACCCCGACTGGCAGCGGCCTGCCCGGCCCCGGCGCTGGATCACGTTGGCACGGGACACCCACACAGTCTCCAGGCAGGACAC